TGAACAATCTAATTTTTTATGTTTCTTTTTATTTATCCCAAATAAAGTTTATGTTTTATATTTAAAAAATAATGAAATATAAAGTAAAGATATGTTTCTTATACACATTCTGAATAACATTGGCATTACCTCAACTACAATCATCATTTAAAATACCACAATAGATTAATCTGAGTAAAGCATTTTTTGTTGTTTGGAAATTAATGGCAACACCAACAAACATTGAAAAATACTTGACAGAAAAATACCCAAGAATGTTTTGAATAGTTCAATCAAATCAGATTAAAAGGAATAAGTTTTTTTATACCAGCATGAGGGGACCAATCTCACCAAGTGCTTTAAGTTATTTTACCAATTTCACTTAACTGCTCAGAGTGCATCCTTAAACATGTGATAAAACGAACAGATTAGAGCAGACAAAAAAAAAAGCGTAAATAATATATCTGACGATAATATGCAAATCAAGACAAAAGATATATAATAAAGTTACCATTAACCACGGTATGTGACCTAAAAATCGGAGTCCAATAAGAAATGCCTGCTTTAGCCTTGTTTCCTATTGTATTTCTTTTATACAGTACGGAACTTCCCTGTTTCAAACAAAACTCTTGATATTCATACCATGACTTAGGTATCAACTCAGCTGCAATAATTATTATAAAAGTATTAGACGCACATTCAATGAATTAATAATCAGCCAATTTAACCGAATAAAATCGTATTTTTATATTTATTACCAACCCCGTACAAATGATGACACGATGATGTAATTTACAATTAATAGTTTTTAGGGCGGAAACAGGAAAGTATCATGCCTTCAAAAGTCTATTGTTTACAGTACACTGATTTTTACAGATATTTCACTCATTTCAATGAAGACCAGTTTAAATGTTACGCTTATTCATGCACACACAAAGAAAATGATGACACATCTGTCATGGAATTGTTACTTTTACATGTTACTTAACTTATGATAATATCTTGCTACTTTTCGTAGATGGAAAAATAAACACAATATAAAGTTTTTTTTTTTTAAATACCTTCATCAGGATCTCTCAAAACCAAATACTTGATGGACAAAACTGCTTAAATACCTGCTTACACGAGGAGCTGTATGGCGAAAGGGGCATACAAAGTATTGCTAAATTCAATTAAATTCAACCTTGCTTAAGGGAGTTTGAACCTTAGTTTCTTAATAATTTCGAAATATATAAACTGGGAAGAAAAGTATAAATCATGTCAGTACCGAAGCACTGACTAATGATGTGATGATATCACAAGCAGTAGAATCGCTGCGTCCGAACGATGTTTTGGATTTACTTTCATCAGAAACATTCACAAAAATTTGAAAGCCTATACTCATTTAATACTTGAATACATGAGATCTATATTACCACGGGTAAATATTAAAAAAAACTTACATGACGTATTTTTACATCCAAATAAATATGTTGCATTGCAGTCACGGATCAAATACTTGCTTTTGTCTTTGGTTGTTGTTAGACACTCTTTTTCTATATACGCTTTTGTTGACTCTATGTTTAAATCTGCAAATAAAAAAAGTATTGCTATTAAATTTCTTTTCAGTTATGTTGTGGATTTTCAGTGTCGAGTAAAATTGATAAAAATTAAAAAGAGTAAGACAAAAATATTTAATGTTTACCTTCAACAAATGTAAACACCAGAGCTGACCGACCGGAACTACAAGGAGTGTAGCTGGCATTGCTACATTTTGTTCTGCAGTCATTTATGTCACCTATGTTAATTTCAGGTTTATAAGTAAGGCAGTAGCATCTAGAGCTCTGAAAAAGTACAGATTAATATTAATATAATATGTACTATGGAGAAGACAAAACTTCTCTCAGTGTCTAAATTTAAAACCTCAAAAGCATTACTATAAGTTGTGAAAGAAAGAAATTAAAAACATTGGAAAGCCATAGGTCAATGGATCACAGATACCACTTTTAAAGAGTTAAAGAAAATAATTATTCACAAAAACGAAAGAAGTTATAATGTCAAATTGACTACAGATTTATGATTTATCCAAAAGTAATCTGCATATTTTTTCTCATATTTTAAACAGTGATTAATTTTTATTTCAAATGTACTTCTTTACTAGCTATCCATGATTTGAGAATTATTTTTCTTAAATTTAGGCAATGAAACGACATATAAGTTGATTAAATATTATTCCAATATTCACTAGATAAAATGATTGTATTAAGGAATTGTCACTTATAATGACAGTCGTGGTTGAAAGTTTACCAGATTGGTCAATAATAAATAAAAAGGATAACAGGAATGAAACAAATACTGTACAGCACAACATATCCTTACCTGTTCATACTCGCATACACATTTTTACCTTCTTGCGTTTGCGCAATTGAAAAAAAATACCTTAATTATAAAGTAGGTAGTAGATGCATCATCAGTACAATGTCTTAAACAATCTTCAGTCGTTTTTACACTTATCCCAAAATCCATAGGTGAAAAACTTCTGCCACATCCTGTCAATTAAAGCATTAAAGTCATTCAACTGGTTTCTTACTATGTTTTATCTCAAACTGCCATTGCAAAAAAAAAAAAAAAAAACATACTCGTACAGGAGCAAAAAAATCAGGTGTGGAAGTAACAGAGTGAGTGCTTTTGATATTTTAATTACACATCTTCATTTGTAGAGAAAAATTTGATAAGGCAATGAAACTACTAAACTAAATGTTTTATTTGAAATCAAATGTCTAATTTTTCCGGATTTAAAAACTATTTTTTGTGTTCAGCATATTTTTTGATAATGTTCAGCATATTTTTTGATAATAATCACTACTGGTGTAATTCAGATACGGAACATACCTATTAACGCAGCCCATTTTGTGTATTTAATTACTGTTCCTGTCCAAGCTTTTTCTGCTTTCTTATAATCCATGTAACTCGATGATTTATTAGATATGACAGTGGTGTTTATCTTTTCTATCACTGGAAGAGAGCACACATCTGAACTAGTTGCCCAGCTACTTTCTGGGAATCCGATGAAAACTGAACATCCTAGCAATAAAAAAATAAAAATATAATGTTCTATTAAACCAAAACGACATGTATTTAAATAACCAAAACATTTACCTACTTTAGGAGTTCAAATTTCAGTGAATATGATTTCACATTAATTTTGCTGTTTTTTTAATTATTGAGAACTAAAATGAGTTGGATCACCTCCTTGCTGCCAAATTTGGGCAGCAGCTATATATATATATAAACAAGTTTAAATTGATAACAACGTTCAAACCTATGATTGCGTTGGATAAAAACCGCAATTTTTATACGTGTGCATGCAAAACAAATTTTTTGTTAGAGGGGTCTAAATACAGCACAAACAACATTTTCCAAAAGACCAAAAAAGTGAAAAAGTATATTTTAACAAAACGCATTTGACTAACAGGTCGAACAACAAATGTTCATAAACCCTGCTGACTGCCATTGGCGATTGCCAAATAAACGGATCACCGATGTAAAAATGGATCTTAATTATAAATTTAATACTAAACAGAAAACAATAAACTTGCGGAAAAGATGATATACCGCAAACAAAAGGTGCAAAGGTTTTTGTACACCATATCCGGATTTCGACAATTAATGTCTCTTCAGTGATGTTAGGAATCGATACTGTATTTGGAAAGCCATACAATTTACCTCAATTAAGGATAGAATCTTGAATTTTGAGGAGTCAAAATAGGATGAACGGATCCTATAAACCCAAAGGCAAATATAATACAAGCCCAAACGAAAAAATATAAACAAGTCTAAATTGAAAACAACGTTCAAACCTATGATTGCGTTGGATAAAAACCGCAATTTTTATACGTGTGCATGCAATTATATGAGTTCGAATCCCGGCCAGGGAAGAACACAAATTTGATTCCGCAAATTTACAGATCTAACATTGTTGGGCTGTTATTTAGACGAATTATATATACAGAATGTGTTTTCAGCCTTGTATCACCATCACTGGTGATCCGATGGATAAAATCTGTCGTAGAGTTGTCACTGGTTCAGACGTTATTATTATTATTATATATAAATCTAAATTGAAAACAACGTTGAAACCTATGATTGCGTAAGATAAAAACTGCAATTTTTATACCTGTGCATGCAAAACTAATTTCTTGGTAGAGGGGTCTAAATACAGTACAAACAACATTTTTAAAAAGACCAAATGAGCGAAAAAGTATATTTTAACAAAACGCATTTGACTAGCAGGTTGAACAACTGATGTTCTTAAACCTTACTGACTGCCATTGGCGATTGCCAAATAAACGGATCACAGGATGTAACAAAATAGATCTTATTATTAATTTATTACCAAACAGAAAAAAATAAACTTGCGGAATATATATATATAGAGGATATATTTCCAGCTTAAGGAAGTCCGTACTCCATGGCTTGCATTTCCTTTATGATATTTTGAAAGTTATTGAGAATCGCTGCTTATATTAAAGCTATTGTTCCAGTAGTTCGATAGTAAAGCTGAAGACGTTTTGTTGGAGAAATCTAAATATTCTGGAATATCTGTGTTACATAGATCATCACAAGTATGTTTCAGTTATCATAAGCAATAATCCCGTCCTCCTTATAACAAGTTTTCATCTGTCATGAACAACACCAAGGGTGCATCTACAAAAGCAAGATTTCCCTACCTGTTTCAAGAACTAAATTCATCCCGTTGTGTTGGTGGGATTCATGACGAATATTACGTTTTTTCGTTTTTACAACTGTGTTGTTTGTTCTTAATGTATTTATGGATTTTGATTGCACCATGCTCTCTTACTTTTTCTCTGTTATAACTGTTGTTTCAATTTTAAGAAAACAAGTCAATATTTAAAATTGATGAGTCATTGCTAATTTGGCAAATAACCCACTGCAAAGCAGCAAGCATATTAGAGAAATGTATGTCATTATCAATAAAAGTTTATATTTTTATACATGAAATGATTGAATGAATAACTTACCAGAAACTGAGATTAAAATGAGCAAAATATATAGCTGCGTTATATCATTCATTTCTGTTAAATGAATGACTATATTTTGATGAAGTATATTTTAATAATTTCCTTACATGACTTCATATATGACATCATTGCGCCGGAAAAACCAATTACATCTAAATTTGGTAAAGCAAATGTTTATCACTAGAACTCAAATTTTGAGTGACAAGTTGGGTGGTTACATTAAAATTAAAACCTTTTTAACAATTCGTAGTGTCAATGGTTTCCTGTAACTAGATCATTTTTTTTAGTTAAGCCTTTTTAGTTAAAATATTAAATGCATTTTGATTTTTCTTTCAAACGTTTGAGACTATTCGTACCTGGTGTCATTTAGCTCAGAAACACATGCTGTTCAAAATGCGTAAAAGTTACCGTATCAACCTTTATTTACTACCACTTGATGGCTTTTGCTTGTAGTGGACTGTCTCTAGTGGGAAAATCTGCTTCCTGAATAGTTCGTCATTGCTTACATGATAAAAATAATACTTTCAGTTTGAGTAATATGGAGATGAACTGAGACTAGACTCCGTCCGAAAGGTTGATCAAAAGATTAAGATGATGCTTAGGCGCATATTCATACATAGCCGTCGCAAGTACAAAAAGAGATTAGCATCTTGCATAGTTCTTCAATTTCACTTTCTGGTATATTGATAATGTCTTATAACTCAATAACCCATATTTCAATGAGTTCGTGTTTTTTCAATTATCCCAATGAACTTAAGAATAATGATATACTTCTAAAGCTAGAATACGGTCTGCTTCAAATCTTCATCTTTTCCTCTATAATGACAAAGTTGGACAAACATGAATACTTTCCAATAAACAACTTCCCGTTTCTCAACAGTAACATAACCTTTGCCCCATCGTACGCCATTTACACATATCAATTTTAGAATACGTTACGCTCGGGCATGTTTACAATTTATGGCGTTCATTAGATCTTTAAATATCAAAATAGTCGTCTGATCTGCAAATTTACCGTTTGTGTGCCATCCCGATTGTGCCATGTGTGCTGAGTTTGCATATGTCGACACACCAGGTCTCGTTCTTGTTTTGTGTCTTTTTGGAGTTCATGCGATTCTTTCATTTTTTATTTCTATCTTCTAAATAAGTTTATGAGATAGAGCATCGATGAACTACTGTTGCTTCGAATTATAGTATTTTAACAATTGTCAAAAAGTATTTTTAATATTCTCAATTTTGCCAAAAACACATTGCGTCGAGCATATGTATTTTGTAAATAAAACATAATCAATGTTAACATGTTTAATTGATAAATTCAACAACACTTACCGTTATCGTGATGATATTTTTTCGTTAAATAATCAAGAATTCTCTAAATATACTGCCTAAATTTACACAAAGGATTTAGATAAATCAAATATTGACAGCAAGAACGTTCTTTTCTAGATTGAGATATTTCAGTTTTACAAGAGAAACTCTAGACAAAAATTTACGACAAAAGCGACGATTTTTGTTTTCTTATTGTTAATTTTCCTTTTTTTGGACGGTGATGTTCCTTTGGCACCGCCTTACAGTGTTTATATTTCACAACTCGTTAGCTATGAACGTGTCTGTAATGACGTTTTTTTTATTTCAATGAGCTTAATCTATGTATTACTAGCAAATTATAAAGTCAGGAATTTCGTTACCACAAATTACTTAAAACCTTGTACTTAATTATTCCATAGATACAAAGATTTGGTTCGCAAGATGGGCTGTACCTGTAGAAAACGTATTTCAAACGGTAAAGCACACCCAAATTTTTACAGGAATGTTGTTTACCGAGCCGGAAATTAAGATACGATCCAGGTAAACTTATCAATCCTTTAAATAAACTTATTCAACACTGTAATTAGATCTTTGAATATTGTTTTCATTGGTATAAATATTGATTTTGTTATCTGTAAGTTAAAACCATACTTAATATTATTGTTATACACATATGCATATTCACGGTACCACAATCTGTCGATACCTATATATTGGAATTGCACATGTTTTTCTTTTACTGTTAATGACGTCTTTACACTAAATTCATTGTTTTTTATGTGTACTGATTGATATTTAGTCTTAGATACAAAGGGACAATTGAGCCTTTCTCATCACTTGGCGTCCGTCGTCCGTCGTCGTTAACATTTACAAAAATCCTCTCCTCTGAAACTACCAGCCCAAATTTAACCAAACTTGGCCACAATCATTATTAGGGTATCTTGTTTAAACAGTGTGTCCGATAAACCCGCCTGCCAACCAACGTTGCCGTAATGGCTAAATAAAAGCAACAGTAGTATACCGCTGTTCAATAGTCATAAATCTATTTAACTGAAACAATCCGGGTCACAAACCAAAACCGAGGGAAACACATCAACTATAATAGGAAAACAACGGAACAGCAAAAATACTGAACTGCTTCAAAAACAAAAGCCAACATATATAGAAATAGACTATTTGATAACAACTGCCATATTCCTGACTTGGTAAAGGACATCATGGACATTTTAAGAAAAAATTTTGGGTTGAACCTGGTTTTATGGCTAGCCAAACCGCCAGCTTATATTGCAATGTTAAAAATTTCGCTAAAATGACAACATTTCGTGACAGGAATACATTACAACTAAACGCAAGAACACTCAGGACAGATACATACATAAATAAATAATATAATAGTACATGACAACATGTAAACCATAGAATAAAAACGGACACCTCTCATTTACACCACAATAGAATTATGAACTGTGCGTCACACGAAAAGTGACGTCACAGGTAAATTTGTAAAAATAGAATATACAATTGGGATTAAGTTTGTAATGATGTTATTTTATGTATTTTCTAACCACTAAAAACAGATTATAGGGGTAAAATGCAAGTTTTGTCTATTATCTTGAAAACTGCTTTAAATAGAGAAAATCTGCCCAAGCAGAAATGTTCCAAATCATGAGATCTATATTGTCCGTTTACCACAAATCTGGCGGACGACTTCTTATAGGAGTTATTTCCATTTCATGACGAATGTTTATCAATTTTTATGCCCCAACTAGGGGCATTATGTTTTTTGGTCTGTGCGTCCGTTCGTTCGTCCGTTTGTCCGTCCGTCCGTTTGTTCGTCAGTCCCGCTTCAGGATAAAGTTTTTGGTCAAGGTAATTTTTGATGAAGTTGATGTCCAATCAACTTGAGACTTAGTACACATTATCCGTATTATATGATCTTTCTTATTCTAATGCCAAATTAGAGTTTTGACCCCAATTTCACGGTCCACAGAACAAAGAAAATGATAGAGCGAGTGGGGCATTCGTGTGCTATGGACACATTCTTGTTTTTTATTCTTTTTTGCATTTTATCTTGAAAATGACAATAGATAGAGAGAAACTTTAACAGCAAAAATGATCAGCAAGACAACATCTACAAATAAGTTAAAATAATTGATATCGTCAGATGACTACATTTTGAAGATATTGCCCTTTATTGACGATTTTTACAAATGTTTTACCTTTTTGCCTTATATCTGAAAAAAATAGATAGACAGAAACTTAAATAAGCAAAAATTATCAGCAAGACTAGATCTACGAATAAGTTAACATTGTTGAATCGTCAGATGACCTTTTATTGGAGCTGTTACCCTTCAATGACGATTTTTACCATGTTTTTGAGTTTTGCCTCATATCTGAAAACCTATAAGAGATAGATAGGAACTTAAGAAAGCAAAAATGATCAACAAGGTAAAATCTACAAATAAGTCTACTGTCCAAATTATTCAGTTCACTCCTTATTGTATTAATTGCTCTTTAATGACGATTTTGATCAATAAAATTTAGAATGGAAATGGGGAATGTGTCAAAGAGACAACAACCCGACCAAAGAGCAGAAAACAGCCGAAGCCCACCAATGCGTCTTTAACACATTGAGACAATCCAGCACCCGGAGGCGTGCTTCAGCTGGCCACTAAACAAAATGTGTACTAGTTCAGTGATAATGGACGTCATACTAAACTCCAAAACATATAAATGAACTAAAATTAAAAATCATACAAGACTAACAAAGGCCAGAGGCTCCTGACTTGGGACAGGGGCAAAAATTCGGCGGGGTTAAACATGTTTTGTGAGATCTCAACCCTCCCTCTATACTTGTTTAGTGGTCTGTCTATTATCTTGATAACTATTATAAATAGATAGACACTTTAAATCGCCAAAAAAACAAAACAAAAACAGCAAAACAAGATATACAAATACGTCAAATTTTGCCGAAATCGTTAGTGGACTCTTTAGAAGAGTGATTTTACCCTTTTTTGTGTAATGGGCAAAAGAAGATAGAGAGAAACTGTAAACAGAAAAATTATTAGCAATACAAGATCAACATAAAAAGATATTTTTGTCATGCATTCTATTCTAGTCCACAATGTTGGAGAGTGTCCATTGATGAAGATGCATATAGGCTTAGGTGAGCGACCCAGGCTCTTTAGAGCCTATAGTTAATAAGTTGTTATTGGCTTAGAACTAGCTTTCAATAATTGCGAGCATTCTCAGATACGTACTTTATGTCTGCGCTTTTGTTAGTTGTTTTTATGGTTTTCTACTTTCTATAGTTTGTTCTTATGTTGCACTGCTTCGCCACTGTCTAATGTTAGGGGAAGGGTTTGACTCCAGCAAACATGTTTAACTCCGCCAGATTCTGTATGTGCCTGTTCCAAGTCAGGAGCCTGTAATTCAGTGATAGTTGTTTTTTGCTGTATATCATATTTCATTTTGTCTATTGTTTTGTACATCAATCAGGCTGTTAGTTTTTTCGTTTGAATTGTTCTACATTTGTCATTTCGGGGCCTTTTATGCGTATGGTTATTGATCATTGTCGAAGGCCGTACGGTGACCTATGGTTGTCAGTTTCTACGTCACTTGGTCTCTTCTGGAGATTTGTCTCATTGACAATTATACCACATCACATCATCTTATTTTGATTTTGTCCATCCTTGGTGATAGAAAAGTGTATCAATTTTAAAATTTCAATTTTGGTGATGCCTGAGGATTAGATAAGTTTCCATTACCAATCCGCTATTGCATAATCCCTAATTAGTTAATATATCTTATAAACTTTTTT